GAGCATAATGCTATAGATGGGTGTATAATAATACGGGCAGGAGCATAATGTTATGGACAGGAGCGTAATGTTATAGATGGGTGTATAATGATACGGACTGGAGCATAATGTTATAGACAGGAGCATAATGTTATAGACAGGAGCATAATGCTATAGATGGGTGTATAATAATACGGGCAGGAGCATAATGTTATGGACAGGAGCGTAATGTTATAGATGGGTGTATAATGCTACGGGCAGGAGCATAATGTTATAAGCAGGAGCGTAATGTTATAGATGGGTGTATAATGCTATGGACAGGAGCATAATGTTATAGGCAGGAGCATAATGCTATAAATGGGTGTATAATGATACGGGCAGGAGCATAATCTTATAGGCAGGAGCGTAATGCTATAGATGGGTATATAATGATACGGACAGGAGCATAATGTTATAGACAGGAGCATAATGCTATAGATGGGTGTATAATGATACGGGCAGGAGCATAATGCTATAGATGGGTGTATAATGATACGGGCAGGAGCATAATGTTATAGATGGGTGTATAATAATACGGGCAGGAGCATAATGTTATGGACAGGAGCGTAATGTTATAGATGGGTGTATAATGCTACGGGCAGGAGCATAACGTTATAGGCAGGAGCGTAATGTTATAGATGGGTGTATAATGCTATGGACAGGAGCATAATGCTATAAATGGGTGTATAATGATACAGGCAGGAGCATAATTTTATAGGCAGGAGTATAATGTTATAGACAGGAGCGTACTGAGGCTAAACTGAGGCGTAACCGGGCTGGCGCCGTGCTGTGTCAGTGGAGACTGCGCATTAAGATATAATAGATTTGAACTTTGCCGGTAGGGGTGAATGGCGCCGTTTGCGTGGCGTTCCGTGCCGCGCCGCGTGTGTGGAGACGGGCCTTAAGACCCGACGTAACATTGTTTCAGCCTGTCGCCGACGAACCGTTCACATTTGAGATGGAATTGGACGACCTTCCCAAGGAGAAGCTGAAGGAACTCATCTGGGAGGAGACCCAGCGATTCAAGGAGCGACAGCCGAAGGGCGCTCCCTAGTAGTGGCAGCTGTAGCCGGTCGGCACTCGTACTGCCGTGTCAGCTGTTTACCAGTACACCGTACTACCAGCATCGTGGTGAGAGGCTGAGGAGAGGGGGGGGGGGAAGGGATGAGGAGAGATTCTGAAACCATTATAATAATGAGAATAACGTCATTGTCTGCTGTTGAGTGACCAGTGATGTTGCTGAGCTTGGGGTTTAGACTGTGTGCTGGTGAAACTAGCAGCGAAGGTTAAGGGCGCTGAGTATCGGGCATGTACCGTCATCAAGTCATGCTGTTAAACAGCAAATGCTTGCTACCAGTCACAAATAGTGGGGCGATGGGATATGTGCGAGTGTGCGTGTGTGCGAGTGTGCGTGCGTGCGTGCGTGCGTGCATGCGTTCGTGCGTGCGTGCATGTGTGCGTGCGTGCATTTTACCCAGCTTAAACGGAGCTCATGGCCTTCGTCTGTGGTAGCCTAGACGGTATTAGTCTGTGGCACAGGCCCGCGGCAGTACGTTGTACCTGCACCGTGCTTTATGCATTCTCTGTCATGGTCAATCCGCCCCCTCTCTCACTCACCTGGGTTATGGAACTAAATTATTGCGAGGTTATCACTCGGTAACGCTCGTACGTTGATGCGATTTAAAACCGGCTCCCAGGAAATGCATCAAAGTGGCACTTCCTGCAGGTGATTTTGAACTAAAAGCATTGAAGTAATTTATATTTTTTGGACAGAATTAAGTCGCCATAATTCATCTATCACTGCCATCTATCACGAAACACGAACTAATACTGATGAGAAAGTTTGCACAATGGATGGGCCGCTTTCAGATAAGTGTTTCAAGCAAACTGAAGAGTGTGTTTGTACACTGTATAGTGACAGCGACTATAATACAGTAAGTAGTCACAGTAGAGGTTTATCTAACGAGGGAAATACCCACGAGCTGTTTGCTCCAATGAGGAAATACCTGTTCGATTGTAATTAGATTTGATCGCTATCGTTCCCACCTAAGCTCGCACCTGTTACAGATTATATAAATCAACTGTGAGAGAAGGCATCCCTGATCACTTCTTGTTTATTATTGTTATGTATAAAAGTAATCTTGACTAGAGTAATTATTATATACAACATGGCTGTCAGCACGTGGCAGGGGACAGTAGAATCATTGTTGTACATGTCACGGTAATTTGAGGTAATAGAAGAGGACGTCTGGCGTACTGTGTAAATGTTGTTTCACAATAATGAACTGTGTACGTGTGTAGCTTAGTGAGTGCAACACCGAAATCGAAGATTTAACAAAAGTGAATAATGTTTGCAGTTGTAATATAGATGAGTCGACCCATTCTTCCTGTTAACAACGTGCCAGGAGAACACACCTTGGTGATGTAGAACATTTGGCTGGCACCCTAGGTTGACTTGGTGAGATTACTGCTGGGTGCCAGGTCACCTAATATTTTAAGAGAAATCCGTACAGTTTGTCTTCACTTAATCGTCACTTTGTAAGAAAAACGCAAGATACGCTCTCTCGCTGTCGTATTCAGGAGCTGAATATGCAGTCGGCATGGCAACCATGATGCACATGTAGTTCTGGAAGGGTTTTGTTGGTTATGGCATGCACTATGTTTTATTTTATTTGATGAATTAAGCTATGTAATGAAGTAGGTAATAATTATAGTAATGTTAAGATTAAATATTGATAATAGTCATGTTTAAGCCGGTGTTTAACAATAGAATAGTCTAAAGACAGACTAGTTACATCTATGGATGGATGGCACCCATACAGGTGGTGCCATATCTACAGGTATATGGCACTGGTGAAGATGGCGCCACAATATCTATAGGTATGTGGCACCTTCACAGGTGGCGCTACTTGTGTTGATACCGGTGTATGTACGGTGATTGCACGTCTACAGATCCTAGAACACATGAAGGGGGCACAAAGTGTATGGTAGGTAAATGTGCTCATGGTATCAGCCTTCTGTTATGTCATACAGTCTCTGTAACGTGTAGCACAGGCGAGTGGTGTTCTTTCATCTATAGAGATGTCTAGCGGTTAGCCTTTCTGTACTGTGAGCATATGATGTGCCACATGTGGCGCCATCTGTACGCATGTTATCAGAGGTTAATAATGACATAATTGTCATTATTATTTGCCATTAATTGTCATTATTATTATGTCAAAATTTGTCATTATTAACCCCCATGTTATTACGTTTATCATTTTGTGCGAAGTACAAGGTACTGTGGGTTCTGCCTCAGTAGGTGCTGATACCTATAGGGCCCGGTTCATGTTTAGTTTGTGTAATTGTAAAATTGGGTAATAAATAACTATCACTTATTATTAAGTGTTGTAATCAATCCTACTGCGCTAATTAAAAACTGGTTTGCATATTATTTTTATATGGATGATGATTTAAAGGTTATTCAGAGTCTATTAATATTATTACAATATTAATAATAAATATATGTGTAATAATAAATCCAACAGGTAAATAAAAAGCTATGTAAAATACACGTGCCTTTCTGTTCAGTATATAGTTTTATAAAAAATACTCTAATTAATAACAAACTATATTTGCTGTGCAAGTGAATGCATAAAAGCTATTGCTATGTTACATTAATGTGAAGTCTGCCTCTATTTATAGCTGCTGACACTATTATGCAGCCTATATAATTGTGTACTACCTACAGCTTATTTATGGTAATAACATTATGTAAAGTTTAACAAACAAAACAAGTCGGTCTAACTCGAACATTGCCATGTAGCAGTGATAACTGGTTTTGTAGTAACATAGCATCGCTAATGTGATACACGACATACAACTTGTTACTATCTCGTCTACATATATATATATATATATGATATTTATTTATGTATCTATTTATGCCAATGATAGGCTGATGTGTGACTGTGTGATTCCAGCATTAGCAAGAAGGAGTGAGTAACATACATGCTCTGATATGAAGCTGTATTCTTGCGTTAAGGCTGTTGATCTTGCAAAATTCAATGAATTAAAATATGTAATCAGTGGTACATTAACAAATCGAATGGACGCGACGTAGCTACTTTGGGTTCCTCCTTGGTACGCGGCAGCAGCCATTATAGCAGCTTGTGTATAAGGCTTGTATGAGTGCACCTCGTGCAGCAGGTGCTGTGGTCTATGCATTAACTTAGTTAGGCAGGTTGCCGTTACCACCAGGCAAGGGTTTTACTTCAGCTCGGCAGTAAAACGATATGCTTAGTGGTAACGTTAATGATCCTACTCTGATCGAGTATGTTATTTCCTTAGTACAGACGCTGTGCCTCCCCTCAGTTGAACCGAGAAGCTGTCTTTCTTCCAGTATAGAACTATTCTCCTAGTATAGAGTCTTTCCTTCCCCTAGCATGGAGTGTGACCATGCCTTCGGGCTTTAGTATAGATTTCGTTTCGCTTAGCATAGAGACTGCTCTTTCCCTACTATAGAGCTTTCGCTTCTCCTAATATAGAGACTGCTCTTTTCCTAGTATAGAGTCTGTTCATTACTCCATTATACAACCTGCCCCTCCCCAAATATAGAGATTTCTCTTCCCTTATCATGCAGGCTACACGTATTCTAGAGTAGAGCCTGTGCCTCGCTCAGTATAGCTGAAGCTCTACCCGTGCAGCCGCTCCCCAGAGAGACGTGTAGCGGGAGCGACTGTGCCACACGGGTAGCGCTAGTAGAGATGCCACCCTTCCCCCTATCATACAGCACACCCTTCTCCCTAGCATGCCGGCGTCCGTGGTTACGAGCCGGCCCCTCCCCTCGTGCCGGCGAGCCGTGAGTTGACGAGACTCTCCGTCTTCGCCCACAGCCGCATGGCGAACTGCGCGTCTGCGGCGGCGTCCGTCACCTCCGTCATCTCGCAGTCCTCGAAGTATCGGCCCGAGTGCTGGTCGACGTCGTGCCGCACTGCGCAGTCGATTATCGTTTGCGCGCCACCTTCCGGCGAGCGGAAGAACAACGACGAGACGGTGTTGAGGAAGAGGCCGGACATACCTGTCCAGTGTCGCATGATGTTAGTGCGCACCGTACCTGCGGCGTAGATGAGCGAACAACGTTAGTAAGGTGAACAGTGTGTGTGTGTGGGGTGGGTTGGGGGTGTGGGGTGTTAATGAGGGATACTGCTAACAGATGGCGTTGTACGGAACCACGGGCTGTAAGTATTGGTTTATGCATAGACATATACAAACACTGATAAATACTGTGTTAGTATATATATCTATTGTTTATGTAATGCAAATTACACTCCTACTCGGGTCTTTGGTCTGTGTGTGTGTGCGCGCGAGTTTGCGTGTATGCGTACGCGCACGTGTATGTGTGCGTGTGTGTGTGTGTGTGTGTGTGTGTGTGTGTGTGTGTGTGTGTGTGTCGTGTGTGTGTGTGTGTGTGTGTGTGTGTGTGTGTGTGTGTGTGTGTGTGTGTGTGTGTGTGTGTGTGTGCGCGTGCGTGCGTGCGTGCGAGTTTGTATATGCGTATGTGCGTGTGCGTGCGTGCGTGCGTACGTGCGTGTGTGCGTGCGAGCGTGCGTGCGAGCGTGCGTGCGTGCGTGCGAGCGAGCGTGCGTGCGTGCGTGTGTGCGTGCCTGCGTGCGTGCTCACCTGGATGTGCGGCGAAGCAGCGTATGTTGGGCACGTTGCGTTTGGCCATCTCGCGGGTCCACAGCAGCACGGCTAGCTTCGAGTCGCAGTACGTCTGCCACATGTCGTAGCTAGACGCCTTCTTCCTGTCTCCGTTCAGATCCTCTAAATTCAGTCTCCCTGCGAAGCGCAACTATGCGTGAGACGGCTGCGTGCATGCGCTCTACAGACCCGGAGCCCGGTTGTCAGAAACAAAATTCTTAACATTAGTCTTTTTTCATACACGCGGTAATCTATACACTGTGTATGAGAAAATCGTAACTTTACCCGACTCTGATTGTTCCTGTTAGCGGTATGCGAGAAAAGATTAATGTGAAGACTGATTTTGTTCCTGCCAACGGCCCCCTGTTTTCAGTCCACTCACTTTATCGCTCCTCAGACTGGTCTGCCTATAGCGAGTGCAGTAAATCTACAGGCCACCCCATGCTTGGATACAGGCCCGACCCTGTCCGTACTTTACTCTACCCGGCCGCCCACGAACCACAGTCTACGGACCACGGACGCCTAGAATACCCTGAGCTCCACATAATCCCGAGTTATACACATACCACCCGTAGATTCTCCTTCCTCTTGCCAAACCTTATCCTCTGAAGGTTAGTTAGTCAGCATGAAGGTACAATAAGCGAATGGACTGAAACTAATACCGACGGCTGCGCGAGTTTTGCAAACAAACATCAACCCTCTTAGCCCCCTAGGCTTCAGTGTTATATAGGATATGCGAGCCTGCTTTAGCAGGAACATATGTTCTCACGGATAATCAACAGCGCAGACACAACGCAATGTTAGCCAGTAACGGGCTGGCTTCGTTTATATATGTCCCTATAACCTACATTTAGCCTACCCCTAATCTACATATTACCTACCTATAATCTAACAATCAATGACTTATAGGCCTGCCCTACCCATAGACTAGGTATCTTCGTTCTATAGGTTATCTGTAACCTTTCTATAGCTTACCTGTGACCTACCTAAAACGGGTGCAAATCCACTTTAGGCACCTTAGGTATCACAAAGTGATGCACAGATTTCTGTGCATCAGTAGATGATACACAGAAATCTGTGCATCACTTCGTGATACATAAGGTGCCTAAAGTGGATTTGCGCCCCTAAAACGTCCTATAACTCACCATATCTATAATCTAACTATGGCGAACCTCTAAGTTACGTATGACCTGCCTGTTGTCTACCTATTACCTACCTGTAATTTACCTATTGCTTATCTATAACCTACCTATAACCTACCTGTAATTTACCTATTGCTTACCTATAACCTACCTGTAGCCCACCTGTAACTTACCTGAGCTGTAACCTCCAGACGCTACGTTGACCACGCGGCTGGGGCTTGACCGTTTCAGCAGCGGGGTCAGCAGCTTGGTGAGGTAAAACGGTCCGACGTAGTTCACCCCGAATACCATGTCCAGCGAGTCTTCTGTGAACGTTCTCGGACACATGACGCCTGCGTAACGAAAGATCCGTACAGGCAAGCAGAGCAGGTATTCTACTAACAATGATGACAACAGCTAGTAAGATATATGACATTTGTAAGGAAGATGGCCACTACAAGGAAGCTAGACCACTATTGTAATAGATGCCCACTACAAAGGAGAAAATGCAGTCGCAATGGGGGAGAGGCGACCTGAAGAGAGGTGGCAACTGGAGACACAACCAAAGACTGACCAAGAATATCATGGAGCATGCAGCCCAATCGTCGAACAGACACGTCAGTCGTGTTTGTAACGTAATTATGGCGCATACACATTAGTTTTAGTTTTAGTTTAGTTTTAGTCGACCCTCGCTTTAGGTCTCCCGCCGGACTCCCTCCCTCCCGGACACGTACCCACCCGCCGGACTCCTTCTCTCCCTCCCGGACACGTACCCACCTACCGGACTCCGTCCCTCCCTCCCGGACACGTACCCACCCACCGGACACGTACCTGCCCGCCGGACTCCCTCCCTCCCGGACACGTACCCACCCGCCGGACTCCTTCTCTCCCTCCCGGACACGTACCCACCTACCGGACTCCGTCCCTCCTTCCCGGACACGTACCCACCCACCGGACACGTACCTGCCCGCCGGACTCCCTCCCTCCCGGACACGTACCCACCCGCCGGACTCCTTCTCTCCCTCCCGGACACGTACCCACCTACCGGACTCCGTCCCTCCTTCCCGGACACGTACCCACCCACCGGACACGTACCTGCCCGCCGGACTCCCTCCCTCCCGGACACGTACCCACCCGCCGGACTCCTTCTCTCCCTCCCGGACACGTACCCACCTACCGGACTCCGTCCCTCCTTCCCGGACACGTACCCACCCACCGGACTCCCTCCCTCACGGACACGTACCGCGCCGCCGGACTCCCTGCCTCCGGACACGTAACGCCACCCGCCGACACGTCCTCCTCCCTCCCGGACACGTCTACGCACCCGCCG